GCTGAGTTACCCAGGCTAGGCTCGAATTTGTGGATCCTTCTGACTCAGCCTCCCAGAGTGCTGGGTTGACAGGTATGCACGAGGCTCAGCCTCTTCCCGTAACAGTTGCTGCTCCATGTTCCTGGGTCTGAGGCCTCTGGTGATGAACGTGAAAACTCTGCACTGTTCTGCTTTTACAAACAGTGAGGCACAAGCAGCCGTACACCCGGGTCCTCCGGTGAGGATGTGGGCTCCAGGGTCCCTAGGAGTAGCGCTGTGGGCTCTCAGGGTGGCTTGGCTCAGTAACATGTGCTTAGAAGCCTGCAACCTGCCACCACAGTAACTCTCCCCAGCTCGCACCCTGTGCCTCAGAGCCTTGTCCACCCCCAGCCCCACTCCGTCCCCCGTGCGCCTGTCCTGAGTTCCACCCTGCACCCTGTGCCGTTCTCAGCTCCTTCATAGCTGTTCCCTACCCAGGCTGGTCCAAAGTCTGAGGCTGGCCCCTGGGAGCCCTAGACAGGCTGGGTTAGTCCCGTGGGGCTCAGGGTTCCTGGCCCCTGAGGGGCAGGCGTGGGAAGATGAACCTTCAGAATCCTTGGGGAGACCACACTGTGTGACCCCAGACAATAGCAGGGGGAGGTGAACATGAAACGTGGCAAGCACTTGAAGTAAGAAACCTCATCACAGTGAAGGACACGCTGCCAAGAACGATGGGACAAGAGTGCTTGGGCCGAGGGGGGCGTCTGGGCTATTTTGAGGGGAATTAATGGCAATGAGTCTTTATTTTTTTGAGGCAGGATTTCCCTATGTAGCTCAGGATGTCCTTGAACTCATGGCAATCCTCCTGCCTCAGCCTCCCAGGTGCTGGAATTACAAGCATGGGCCACCATGCCCCGCTTTCTAGTACATTTTTAAAATTTAAACATTTACCATAATTCATAAGCACCCTGCACTGATCAAACAAATCTGTCAAAAGCACGACAATGGGGCTGGGGATTTAGCTCAGTGGTGCTGCCACCTGCCTCGCAAGCGCAAGGACCCGAGTTAGGTCCCTGGTATCAAAAAACAAAAACAAAACAAAAAAAAATGACAGTGTGTCCTCAACCACCTTATTCACCAGATCTGCCACTGTGCAACTTCTGGGTCCTCCCTGAAGTCAAAGCGACCACGAAAAGTAACTTTCTGAATCAATTCAGGGCATCCAGGCAGCCGTACCAGTGCAACTAAAGACACTCAGGAAAGAAGCCTTCCAGAGCAGCTTCGGAGCTCAGCAAGAACAATGGGATAAGAGTGCTCGAAGGGAGGCGAGCATTCTGAGGAAGGTTCATGGTAATGCGTCTTTTACAGTAACAGATTTGGGGCTGGGGATTTAGCACAGCGGTTCCACCGCTTGCCTAGCACAGGGACCCGAGTTCAATTCCCGGTACCAAAAAAAAAGGTGAACAATTTCTCCATGCTAGGACTGAAAAAGTTTCCTGCATAGTTCTACAGTAACAGATTTGTTTTTTGGAACCAGGGATCAAACTCTGGACCTTGCGCTTGTGAAGCAGGCTGCAGCACCACTGAGCTAAATCCCCGGCCCACTGTAACAAAAATGTTTTAAATGTGAACATTCACTGTATATTTTGACCACGCCACATGTGTGTGTGAACCCATGTAGGCCTCAGCATGTAGGCATCTCTGTGTGAGAGTGTCATTGCACGTGGGTGTGACTGCACGTGTGCGTGTGAGGGGCAGTTGTGTCAGGCGTTATGTAACAGGCACTCCCAGGAGCCGACAAACCGCAGTGGTGTAACCGCCACCGAGGCCAGGCCCCCAGAAGGGAAAAGAGGGAACATGCAAACACCATTCTGTGCCTTTTCTTTCTCTCCATGCCCCAAGCAGGCGCTGGCCAGCCAGGCTTTTCTGGTCTTCCGTTCCCTCCACCTGAGGCCCAGGGGTGTGGGGGGCTGTGGGTCATGATAGCACAGGGCACTGGGACTGTGGCCAAGGGTCACAAGAGTGCCACAGGAAGAGAACATCCACAACCCTCTTTTGTTTGTTTGTTGTTTTGAGACAGAGTCTTGCTAAATTGCCCAGGCTGGCTCTGAATTTGAGATCTTCCTGACTCAGCCTCCTGGGAGTAGGATTATAGGTGTGTACCACTGCGTCCAACTGTCCTCAGCACATGATTCTGGCCCAAGTTTTAGAAACAAGAGGAAGATCTGCCCAGGTCTGCCCAGGCTTTCCTGGTCTGTCTCTAAAATGCTGCAGACCATCTTCCTCTTGAAAGTCTTTTGGGGTTCCGGCTCCAGAGGCCTCTGCCTGGTACTTGGGCTGCGTGTGGCCCTCACAGCTCATCTGTTCACACCTGTGTGGTGGCTTCAGGCCCACCTCTCTGCTCCACTCTCCCAAGGGCGCAGCTCAGCTCTGTATCTACCCAGGTCCTGGGCCTGGAGCCGTCCTTCCCACCGGCTCCAGCTTCTCAGCCCTTCTTCCAGGACCTGAGCTCCCTGCCCCAGGAAACATCCCCTGCCTGCTCCAGCCGGGGGCCGCTCCAGGCTTTCCTGCAGTGCCTCTGGACATCTTGCAAGCACAATTCTCCTCTGCCCTCCAGCTGTTCCTTTTAATAACAGGGCCTCAGCGCGGTATCATCTCTGCAGGACCCCTGTTGGGAATCACTGCACAGGTAAGCGTGGGTGGTCTCCCCACACCTCCAGGCTCTGGGAGGCAGGGTCCTCTTCTGCTCCCAGCCCCCCTGCCGCCCCCAACGTGGGGCCACAGGATACTCAAGGGCTGCAGCTTCCCATGTGGCCGGCAGGTGGTTGGGGCCGTCTAGCTGTTCGCTGATTGGCTAACTGGCTGAACAGGATTGATGGGAATCCCTCATTCAGAACAGCAGAGTGAGGGACAAGGCGTGCAGCTCGGTGGTAGGGTGCACCCCACACTCTGGCAAGCATGAAGCCCTGCTTTCCACCCTCCGCACCTCCAAAACAAAACAACAGAGTGCCATGCTGAGAGCAGGGGCCAAGTGACTTGACTTAACTCACAGAGCCCACCGAGCCTCAGGGCCTCTCATGCAGAATGGGACTGGGCCTGGCATCGTGCACAGGGTACTGGGAGAACACCCGCCACGCTGGTGTGGTGTGCGTGGCTGTTCATGTCCACTTTTAGGTCTGGCTGAGGCAGGCATTTCCCCCCCACCCCACTTTGCCCGAGAGGAATCTGAGACCCAGAGAGATGCGGTCCCCAAGATCCTTCATGGCTTGGGCTATACTACAAAGGGTAATTCTTAACCCACAACCGTGAACTCAGGAGGCCAGCATTTTTCTCCAGGTCAGTGTGGGTACAGGCAGTAGAACCAATTGGAAGAGAGTATCTTTCTCGACTTTAAACAACTTTCTGAGCCAGGCACGTTGGTGTACGCCAGCAGTCCCAGCACTCTGGGAGACTGAGGCAGGAGGATCGCGAGCTGGAGCTTAACCTGGGCAACTTAGCAAGACTGTCTCAAAATTAAAACTAAAAAAGTGTTCAGTGGAAAAGGCCTGGGTTCAGTCCCCAGTACCACACAAAAAAGAAAAACCTTTCTCATCAGCTCCAGGCACCCTCATCTCTACCCCAGCGAAGGAGGCGTTCATGATGGGGGCTTCCAGGAAGAGGTGGCATGAGGGTGACCTTGTCCTCTACAAGATGACACTGTCCTTCAAAGTGCGTGGCAGCAGGTTTGCCCTTTCTGCGCTGGTTTCCCTCCAGCTCCGAGTCCAGCACACCGCCTGATTTTGCTTCCTGCCCCAGCCCAGCTCCTGGCCTTGCAGGGCGGGCTGAGCCTGCGTAGTTCTCAGGGCGAGCTGCCCGCTAGGCACTGACACTGGGCACGCTGCTCCTCAGCACCTGCCCTGCCCTCGCACCCCTTCCTTCCCTGCATGGCGCTGTGGGAGTGTCCCCCACACCCCACTTCTACGGCCCCAGCCCCCTGCCAGCCCTGGCCGCGCCACACGCAGCACCCCGCCCTCCTTCCCTCCTCACTTTCTTCCCACAGCACTGTCACCGTCTGACATACAGCACAGTTCACATATTTGTCTTTATTGTCTGTCTCTCGCTGAGATGTCACCTCCAGGGATTGGGGCCAGATCTGTTTTACTTTTGTGTGTGTGTGTGGTGCTGGGCATCGAGCCAGGGCCTCGCACATGCCAGGCAAGCACTCTACCTACCCCTGAGCTGCACCCCTGCCCTCCAAGCGCTTTGAACAGAGCCTGGCACATAGTAGGTGCTTAACAAATCCTGGAAGGGACAACTGCCTTTGCCCACATGCATCACACACTCTTGCCAGGTGTCTTCCTCCCACCTGTGATGTCCCAGCCAGCAGCGCCCTCCTCGTGCCCTTGTCTGCATCACGCCCGTGTGCCCCAAGGTGTCCGCAATGTGACCTGCCCACTGCACACCCCCCTGTGCACCATGCAGATCGTGCCTGGCCCCAGCATTCTCCCTGCCTCAAGGCACAGGCCAATTCCAGAGGAAGAAGTGTGCTCAGTGGTCCAGGCATGGGCCAGGGCTCCTGTCACCCACCAGCTCGGCCCAAGGGCAGAAGCAGAGGCCTATCTTCTTTGGACCATAAGGCCCTTTTGTTCCAAGTTCCCCTCCAACCAGGCCTGGGCCTTCGTCCTAGAGGTTTCCCGTGGGCTGAAGGTGCAAGGTCCCCTTGATTTGGGTCCTCCCACAGGATGCTTTGGAGAAGTTGTCACAGAATGCAGACTGCATTTCCGGTGTACAGGGAAAGAGAGGAAAGGATCTTCACCGACAGAGAAACCCAGACCAGGGAGCAGGTGAGAGTAAAAAGCAGAGAGCCAGAAAGTGCTACTGACTCAGCAGACAGCTGGTCCCAGCTGAGGGAGCGGGCAGCAGGAAGGAGAGCCAGGGAGGGGCCAGAAACAGGCTGGGACCCTGGGCACAGGGGGCAAGGAGGAAGCATTCCGTCCATCATCGAGGTGGCCTTGTTGTCTTTTTCCCATTCCCCTGCCTCATGGACTGAGGTCGCCACCTACCTTTTGCTGCTTGGGGGGTGGCCCAGGAGCTGGAGTGCTGGTCTTCTGTGCAGTGCAACAGCCTGTCCGGCACGGGCGAAATGGCGGGACACACACGGTGTTGCTGAATCCTGTCACAGCCTCCTCAGCCCTCATCGGGATCCATCCCTGCAAACCCGACCTTCCGAAGTCCTTCCAGTGCAGAGAGCGTCCTGTGGGCTGCGTGGAGGAGGAAGGATGCCGAGGCTTAGGTCCCTTACCAGCCCAGTGGGGAGCCTGCAGACCTTGTCCCTTTCAGGAGGTCTCTCTCCTTGGCTCCAGTCCCCTCTCTCCTGGCTTCCTCCCTTCGACAGGCCAACCCTGACACTCTTGCGTGGTCCACCCAGAATTCCAGTCTGCCTTTTATCCTGTGTGACCTTGGGCCAATTCCTCAATCTCTCTGTGCCTCTACTTTCTCATCTATTCTCCTACTTTTGCTGGTTCCCAGAGACTTGGGCAGGGAAGTTTTGCCTCATCAAATAGCCAATAATTTCCAAAAGAATATAGGAACCCCACTTACTAGACCATTCTGTCTTCTTAAAATCTCTTCCTCTTCATGAAGAGGAGTGAACTCACTCATGCTATAGGCAAGAACCTGAGGTTCCAAGAAAGCAGGAGCCTGGCCCCAGGCCACCAGGCCACCCAGCCTTCAGGGCCTCCCTCTGCCTGCTTTAGGCTACTCGCAACTCTGGGCTCTGAGTGGTTCAGGGGTGCTGGGATGGCCAGAGGTGATTAGGAAAAAGGTAAGCATTGATTTAAAATACTTTCACAGCTGAGGGAGGTGGTGCACGCCTGCAATCCTAGTACTCTAGGAGACTGAAGCAGGACCATTGCAGGTTGGGGCCCAGCCTGGACAATTTAGTAACTTAGTGAGATACCGTCTCAAAATAAAAAATAAAAGAAAGGGAGAGGTGTACTCTCTTTGGGAAGCTGAAGCAGGAGGATCACCTTGAGTTTGAGGCTTGCCCAGGCTACATAGTGAGTTCAAGGCCAGCCTGAACTACACAGCAAAAGCCGTCTCAAAAAAAAAAAAAAAAAAAAAA